AGTATTTCCTAGGTTGCTTTCTTTTCCAGTCCATCCACACTCGTCGTCCTCCTTATATCATCCAATCCCTCCAATTCAACTCCTCACATCACACCCGTAAAACCCGCTCATCCCCAATCGACCTTATCCTTCCGCAACATACAACCCATACCTTCGAAAGATCCTTTCTGATCCGAGCCCCTAAACTCTGGAACTCCCTTCCCCTATCTATTCGTCACGCTGCCTCCTTCTCCTCATTTAAATCCCATCTTTATAATCACCTCCTCTCCCTCCAAGCAGAGACCTCACGATAACATTTATTATTTTTGTCTTTGTTTAATATACCTCGTAATTTTCTCTTCTGGCCCGCCTTACTGGCATACATTGTGCCACGATTTCTATCTATCTTTTTTTTCCTTTTTTTTTTTTTTTTAATTATGTGACTTCATAGAAGGTTATTATATTTTGTTTCATGTAAATTATTCTAAGGGGACACCAGTCCCAGAATAAAGTTATTTTTCTTCTTCTTAAAAAGAAGAAACGGCAAGAATAAAAGTTTTTTAAAAACGGTTGTGTTACTGTACAGCACCGTACAATCTGTAAATACTTAAATTTTTGCCCCCATTTTTAGTGGTGGTTAAGTATCAATATGTAAAGCTCTAGGTGTCAGAAAGTTGAGAATTAGCTAAAATTCTATTATTTTATTAATAGTTATTCAGATATCGTGAGATGCGGTCGGGAGTGATGTAGGTTTCAGAAAAACATTTTCTTTATCGTGCCAACGTTTCGATCTTTTATTGAGATCATCTTCAGGGCTCAAAGTGTTTGTCTTCTGTGTAAGTGTGCCATCCTTGTGTGTCGTGTTGAGAGTATTTTATTAATCTTATTGAACTGGCATTGGCCCATTCCCCATGGAGTTCCCATGGATGAAGAGATACTTCTGGTGTCTCTGTTGTACTATCGTTGGTAGAAGAGAATGGAGAAAAAACAGGAGAATGTGGGTTCATCCAATTGTCGAGAAGAGAAGCAAAAGAGGGTTTTTTAAGAATTTGTTTTCAGAGATGAGGAAACACCCTGAAGAATGTTTTAACATTACCTGGTTGTAAATGGGCAGTTTTGACGAGTTACATAGTAAAATAAAATTCCGCATTACAAATTTTTTTCTCCACGTCTATTTTTTTCATCTTAAAAGTAAATTAGAAGACTGACAAACAAGCAACCCTTCAAGAAAGTGGGGTACGAACAGCTCAAATAAACGCCACGTGTGTCAGGGCTGATGCAAAACTTGGGTACCACTCACCGCCTGGCGTTTTCAAAACCGACCCGTTGGGTCGTCTCCGCCACCGACCGACTCGGTTTGAAAACCGACAGGCGGTTACGACCGCTACGTCTGTCAGGTTAATGCAACAACAATGAACGACCACCGCCTCGATTTTTCTCGCGATAAGCGCTTCGGTCAAAACCGCTCCGTGTGTCATCGCCCTTAAGGATTCTGAGGGCATACTTTTTAAGGTGTCTTTGTTACCTGGAAATTAACGGGAAACGTTTTTCTTCTGTTTCAGCTGATAGCCTGGATTGTGAGCGATTAAAGAAAAAGTCTGGCGTGATGACAACAGTCGAGGGGGGAGTCAAGTCGGAAAGGCTGAGCCCTTCGAGCTCCGGCGGCCCCGCCTGCGACACGGGCTCCTCCAGGTCGGGGACGCCGTCGTCGTCCTGCACTCCTCCTCGTCAGGGAGGGAGCCCCAGCCAGGCTTTGCCGATATCAAGGAATTACAGCGATTTCATGCGGTCCCTTGCCGCAAAGTACAACAACAACAACTCTTCCCCGAATGAGTAAGTACGACAAAAGAAAATGAAACTGGCCGAGATATCGTCATTTGTTAGAAAATCAACCTTTTAGTTTATGCGATGATCCTTTGAAAATATTTTCGCATGCCTGTGTCCTGGGATACAATCCAATTGAGCGGAGGACTTATTACCAATCCATTGCCTAATGGATCCGTTTTTTGGAGTTTGGTAATCCACAAAAGAGTTCAGGGCAAATAGGTGTCCACATTGAACTTTCCTTGGCTACTTCATTAGTGGAGGGGACATCACCTTGCAGTTGAAAACTACTATCCTATAATTTGGTCGTTTTCCAGCCACTTCGGTAAGGCAATTCTCGGACCAAAAGATACGCGAAAAGGCTTCGAAAAAAGTGGTTATTCATATAGGAAAAAGCGCACTTTCCAGGGTACGGTTATAATTTACAAAGGTTCCACAATAGATCATCCTTCTGGATATTTTATTCATTCAGGCACTTTCCAGCTTTTCGCCTTCAGCGATGTGACTTTTCTTCATGCAATAACGGCTTTGATCTATAAAATAGACTTTTCTTCATGGTCCTTCATTTGCCAGCATCCGATGCTTTCTGACACTGTTCAGCCTTCCGCCATTTGAGTTGGTTTGTTCTTCATGGGACAGCAGTTTCCTGCCTCTAGCAAATACCATTTCCTTAGTTTGATCTTTTCCGACAGGCCAAACACGAGAAGCAGAAAAGATTCTGATGTTTTTGTTCGTTTTTTTTCTGATGTTTTCATGTTTAGAATGAAATTCTCAAAATCTTTTTTTTTAACACCCAAGTTCCTCAATGAAAATAATCTAGATAATAAAAAGAAAGCTCAAATTCGTGGTAGCTATTTTCCAAGGGCAAGTAGTCCTAACTTTTGTTCTCTTTAGGATTTTCATGTTATAGTTAAAAAATCAAACTAACAAGAAAAATCTCATGAAATAAAGAGTCCATAAGTTGAAGCAATGGCACAGTTGGCCTTCCGCAGAATGAAACTTCCAATCCAATCCAATGGGAAAATGGATTAGATTATCGATTTATATTTTTATAGTAGTAGCTTTAAGAGAACATGTTCACAGTTCAACAAGATTGTAAAGAGGAATTAGTAGTGTTGATTGAAAAGCTGTAAAAATTGTTCAATCACGTGCACAGGTAATAACTTGATTATTAATGTTCTGAAAATATATTACAAAGTTGCACGAAATTTTCGTGTTGGTAAACAAGAAAGAGCGTGCAGGACTTCATTTGCTGTACTAGCAATCACTGTTGTAAGACTTAAACATCACGGCAACCCGTTCTAAAAGAAATTGTTTCAATAACAATAAAGATATGGGTCGAAAGGTCAGGATAAATGATTCCTGTGAACTATCGGGTTGTCCGGAAAATAATGCAGGATTTTAAGTTTTCATTAAAAAAAATCTATATAAAATATTCTGTTTACGTTTACAGGATTACTCATNGTATGGGAAATTATTTTGATTAAAGAACATTGCTTTAAAGTAACTAGTTTCTTTTTTTTTGTTTAATACCAAAATCCTGCATTATTTTCCGGACAACCCAATATTATCTCAAATGATTCGGATGATCAACTTCCTGACTCTAAGCGATGACGAATACACGATTTGCATGCTAATGGATGGGAACTGAGACGGTTCAAGTGAACTAGAAGTTCGGATGCGAAACTGCGAAATTACAGATGATCCGGCAATTAAAACAGCGTCCGGACAGATGCGGTTATAACGGTCGAGTGTTACTTTTCAATTGGACTTTTAATGTTTTAAATTTATACTACTAGAAAAAATTGCGGTTTTATCTACAAGTGGTCCCAAGCAGTAATGATTCCATCTCCGGTACGGACTTGTAACGATGAAAGGCGGGGTAGACAAATTTGATGAAATTACCGCCCGTAGATCATCGACGCGCTGACGACCGAGAGTAATTTCACGATCTAACATGTTCTGTTGTAATAGCCGGTCACGTTTGAAACTTTTCAATCTAGGAAACGTTAGAAAACGACTGCTAGAATTATTGCGCTACTGTAACTTGAAGAAAAACATAATTTTTATGTACTGCCGTATGTGAAATTAATATAAACAACCTTATCATTATAAAATATGCATGATATTACTATATAAAAAACGAGTGGTTGTTAAGCTCAGTGCACTGGAGTTAATAAAGAAATATATCAAAGGAGCACAGATTTACTCTCAGAGGCAGGCAGACATAAGGAACTAAATACGTGCGCTTAAATCCAAACTAATCTGGGAATGTCTAAATTGCCTAATGACTCTGGGGAAACGCATGTTGCGTTCCCGGCATGAAGATATAAAAGGAATTGTACAGGCTGACCAACGAGCCAAAATAAGGGCAGCCCTCTCACCCCCTTGGGACCAGAACTAATACTGGAGGCTCCGGAATGGGATAAGTTGGAAATGGAAAATAGATTGAGAAAGAAAAACTCAAACACTAGACAAAAGCACCAGGTATGAGGTAGGTTAAGAGATCTACAAATCTCTCAAAAAGGAAGGCGAAGGAACTTTCTCAGCAGGTGGGACTTAAGAAAAATTATAATCCCTTATACTGGTCACAGCTTTCTTACTATCACCTAAATAAGATGGGCAGAGGAGAGGAAGAACGCTGTCAGCAGGAATCAGAGACATAGGCACATTTTGTGTGAATATGAAGCATACCGATTATGCTACGGCCACATCGGTAAAGCAATTCTCACACCAAAAGATGCGCGTTTGCATATCTGGGTTGCTTCATATTCACAAAAGATATATGTCCATGTCTGATTCCTCCTGACAGCGTCGGCACGTTTCTGTCTCTGCTTTGCCCATCTTATTTAGGTGATAGTAAGAAAGCAGTGGCCGGTATAGGGGATTATAATGTTCTGGTGGAACAAAGCTCAACAAAAAGTAGATACCCAAACATTAGGCTACAAAGACTAGCAAGCCTGTCACAGGGGCAATGAGAACAAACCCTACAAATACATTAGAAACTCTGCTAAACCTACCTCAACTGGAAATATTTATACAAGGAGAGGCTAGGAAAAGCTCGCTTAGGCTCTAGAAACAATTAAATTGGATAGGAAAAAAACAATTCGGGCATACAACCATAATCAACAAAATCAGACACCCATTATTAGAAATGGGGACTGATTATGTGATCCCGAAAACATTCTTTACAACTTCCTACAAAGTCTCAACTGACTATAAAATAGAGGAGAGCATCAGATATGGTATACAGTTAGCTCCAAAACAAACGAAGGAACCGGAGCAGGCATTTTCTGTACAAGCCCAAAACATGAGCAATCAACGTCAATGCTTATGCCCTGGTAAATCTTAAAAGAGGTTAGACTGGCAAAATAATTCTCGTAAGATCTGAGACATTAGCATGTAAAAGAATCACATCAAAATTACTCAGTGAATGCATTCAAAATCTCCAAAACCTGGGGAAACACAACAACCTGATGATATCTGCCAGGCACAGGGGAATTTTGGGTAATGAGAAAGCAGACAGTCCGGCCAGAGTAGGATCTGCAAGACCACACAGGCCCCGAACCTATACTTGGGATAACAAAACCAAATCTAGAATGCTCCATTGCAGAATGGATCCAAACAAAACAAAAGGAGAAGTGGATAAACTCTAGCGGCGCTAGACATAGTAAAATTATGATGAAACAACCCTCACCAAGACTGGCAAAAGCATTGCTGCAATTGGAGAGGGCCAAACTCAGAGGAGTGGTAGGATTACTAACTGGACACTGGCATCTGAGAAAATATCTACACAACATGAGTATATACTATGATGATCCCATTTGCATATTATGTAATGAGGAGGAGGAAGCAGCCACCCATATTATCTTCGAATGCGAAGGAACAGCTCAATAGAGATTTATTCTAACATATTGAAAAAACGTAGGGAATCAAATTGCAGCAGCGACAGTCAATGACCTTATACTTATAAAGAGGTCTGAGTCTATTGCACTAACTAAGGAACAAGGAAGATACAATAAGCCAAAAGTCTGCAGTGCCTGGGGAGCGCAAACCCCGCATCCTAGTATCCTTTTTACCATACCATGGGGAATTATAATTTTCCTTAAGTCCTACATGCTGAGAGACCGAATGCCACTTCGGTAAGGCAATTCTAACACAAAACCATTCGCGAAGAGGCACCAAAAAAAGCGGTTAGTCATATAAGAACAAGCGCACTTTCCAAGGTATGGTTATGATTTGTAAGGGGTCCACAATATATCATCTTTCAAGGTTTCAGTGGAGGAAAGTATTTTTTAAATCCGTTATCAACCCCCAAACCTTAAAAAAAGGGTAGTTGAACATTGTGACTGACTTTTCTCTAGCTAATAAAACGGGTATTTATGAGCAAATAAAGTTTTAAAATAAACTTCAGACCTTTTTATTTAAGTTTGTGGTGGGACGAGAGAAAATAGCAAAACTTGTCTTTTCGTTTGAGCTGCTGACCCCGACGGATCTCCGATGGATATGATCATGGAATTAAAGAAGAAAAAGGATGGTCATAATCATGAGCGGACAACGTTCAATTTCGAACAAAAAACTAAATATTCTATACTTTCTTATTCAGTAGAGTGTGCGAGGACGATTAATTTATTTTACTTGCTACTTCTTAAATGCGAACCGAGCCGCCGGTTTCCTTCCAAAACGGGAGAAGCGACTACCGACGTTCAATTATAAATAATCACGACTGCTATTAAATTAGGAGAAAAAAGATTTGGTCTTAATATTCAGTCATAATAGGAGTTGGCCTCGTCAGCACGTCGAGTGAAAATCATTCAAGATAAACTTGCGTTGAATCAAAAGTCCGTTATTAAAAGAAGAGAAGCGTATCTTTTCCTTATAATTTTTTCTCGTTGACTTACTCAAGCCTATTAAAATTTAATTATATCAAAAATATAATTACGTTGAAGCAAATTAAAAGAAACAAATCTTGTATGGCTCCAACAAAGTGTGACTTGGAACACAGATTC